AACCTGGGCTCAAGGCTTCGTTAGTAGGTTCTTCGGCGTTCACAATGTATCTTTACATTTGCCCTACGGGTTGAGGATCATACAGTCAACTGCATTTCATCTAGATGAACAGTCTTATATTTGATGAAACGGACGGTGAAGTGCGATTGTGGAGAGTGTGCAGAAATTTTGACAAAAATATGTAATTTATTATACTATTATATTAAGTTATCCTTGGCCATTTGCCTTTTCCCCTAATTCCCTCGCTGTTGGTAGAAAAGAGGGAATATTCAAGATCATATTGCTGAAAGTACTATATCAGAAGAATTTAAACATCGCTCGTCTATAAAAAAATACTCTAGTTCTAATCTGAATTAACTGACTCAAAAAAGGCTCCGTCTTCCCTCATCCACCCAAATGAGCAGAATTTCCTTACATGGTCTAAAAGTGAACTGATAAATTACTATTAGACAAATAATTACAATCCAAACGAACATCGAAAAGCAGTGAGCACGGTACACTTCGCCATGACGTAGTCTGACACTGGTTCTTTCAGGTTTACATTACTTTGTGTTGAAGCTTTTAATATTCCTGTAAATGGCGTAGAAGTCGGCTGCCGTGTTTGGATACAATAAACAGTACAATCTGTATGTTTAATATCATAATATTAATTTGGTGATATCATGAAGAATTGCCAATACTAAATTTCCTTTAAGTCTTACTTTCACGACCTCAGAATGGTTGTAGGGTAATAACGGGTTCTCAAAGCTGTGTACCTCAAAGCCGCTAGGATCTAATATACCGATTTACCACGATATGAAAGCTTGAGAACAATACTCGAGTAAGTGGAAGAGGGAGCATCACCTAACCTTCCTAGTGAGCGTGGTGAGTTATAGCAAATCCTCCAAGATTAAATCATAGCTGAAAAGCCACATAGCATTCAAACTTTTAATTTCTGGGAAACCAATCATCATCAAACGTAACTGCAGCTCACGGCCTTGTCTGCAGAGGCAACAGGTTTGGTGGGAACGTAAAATTGAAACTTCATCTTCGTCGCCACTGAAGTATTTAGGCTACTTTTCCCACACCTTGGACACATTCTGAAACTACTAGTCATTACTAGTATAAACATGGCGAAAATATGGGTAAATTACTGAATAATAAAACGATATGTCGATGACCATCCCCAGCGAAGTACTAAGGTCATTTTGCAGGCACCACTCAAATCCTCTACTTCTAACCTTCCGGACCATAATTTTTGCACCAAAAATGAACTATTGGGCAAATGGAGTTTTGTAGAATAACGTAGAGGTGCATAAAAGTAAACTACGCCTGTTCTCGTACAAACGAGCAGTGTTTAGCTGATGGTGCTCTCGCGCAGGATGCATTTGCGGAGGATGAAGGAAATGATTTTAATTGTTGAGATGCAGGTTTTCATTACACTCTGCATAACAGAACCCAATCAGGGCCATGGCCAACGCAGTTTATGGTGCTCTGTATTCGCTTCGATGCCATGTCTGACTTACGAAAGCAATATCCACAGTACCATTGCAAGCACAATGTATAATCTATTGCTTCCTTTCTCACGTGCATGCTGTGTACATCATGTTATAGTACTCATCAGCAAATCCTGTCACCACAGAAACCCGACGTTTGGCATTGATGAGGTCGAAAATTGCGGAATTTTTACTTATTTCGAAAACCGGTCTGTCCATGAGACACCCATCAAGACCATCACCAGTACGTCACGTGATTGGATGACTTCTAGAAGTCTCTGTACAGTCTAGATATTCGAATGAACCACGTCAAGTAATTCAGGTGTCTCCCATTCATCTTCAGCAATAGCTCCATCCAATCAGATTCGAATGGGAGAATCACCTTCGCCCGCATTTCTTTGGAAACTTGTCTAATAATTGGGCTGAGAAAGGAGAACCCTTTCTACAAATATCTGCCTGCACCATGGCTAAGCGACAGATCAGTATTTTTATACGACACGGAGGCACCTGTTTTAAAGAACGACCAGGAATGACGGATGAACATTGTACAACAGCATTGGCCTAGAAGCATAGTGAAATTTAA